GGAGGGAGCTACGATAGGATATATTAGGTGGAAGCTATGGGAAAACACTTGGAATGGAGCCATCACCATCGGTGGAAGCTATGGGAAAACACTTGGAATGGAGCCATCACCATCGGTGGAAGCTATGGGAAAACACTTGGAATGGAGCCATCACCATCGGTGGAAGCTATGTGAGATTCTAGAATGTTATGGCGAAGCAGTGGAAGGTTGACATAGAAGAAGCTGAGAGCATGGGTATTAGCTTAGCTGGTAAGCACTTGCCACACATAGACATGAAATCATGTTTGAAGCTATTTGTGGAGCTCTAGTATAGACAATCAGAGAGCATGGGTACTATCACACTTACCATACTCCTGCACTTCGAAGCTCTTGCTGGTTTTTCCTGAGTGAGTTTGCACCACTATTTTCCACACGCCCAGCGGAGGTTGGTTGGACAGTTCAAACTCCATGCCAGCAAGACCTGGCACAACAACACAGACATATATATGCACGTACGATCAACTCAACAAATGCCTATGATTCCCCCTCCCCCCCCAGCTGTGCCAGCATCCAAATTTCATGTGCCTCGTGAACACTGGCTGTTTTTTAAGGGTTGGGCACACTGGTACATCTTTACAGAAATCATGTATGTTTTAGTGCTCCAAGGGCACCATGCAACCGGTGTCACAGGGCGCAGGAAATCCGGTATAGACACAAGGGGGATGCGGTACAATGTACCAGTGTACCAGCCTTAAAAAAACCATTGACACTAGTATCACATAAATAGATACGTCGATATTGGGTGATACTATCAGAAGTGACACATAAAAAAACTGGTGCATGTACCAGGTAGTATCTCCAAGCTATTATAAATAGCAACGTGACAACGGTATGCACGCACACATGCAATGTACACACATACAATGCCTGTACACACGCACGTATGCACACATGCACACTCACCCTCATCTGTTTCTGCACTGAGCCACTGTTGCATGCGAGTTCCTGACGGATCATCAATCCACACCTTGGGTATCTACAACATTCACAACCTCATCAATCTTTATCACATACATATCAAAGTGAATGACGGTAGCAAAGTCAATGACTAACAAGATACGGATTCACTGCAACACTTAGTGGTGCTGAGAGGGTCTATGTCCCCCAGGATACTGCCGGAACGTACCCTGGGTACGGTCCGGTATACCGGAACGTACCCTG